GTTAGCCACTGGACCAGCTAGCCACAATAAGATTTGTCCAACTAGGTATATTTCTACACCATAGGAAGGTTAGCATAGGCACCACTGTGACCACAAATGCAAGTTTTTACAGACGAATCTCCAGCTAGCGTGGCCGTGACGAACTCTAGCTCAAGTCTCCTTACTGCTGTCAACATGACTCATGAAATCGTAATGACACGATTGCAAACAAACCATACCACGGGCGGGAATCTTATTGTGGCTAGTTGGTCCAGTGGCTAACGCGACAGTCTGGAGTTTTGAGACTCTCTGACTGCGGGTTCAAATCCCGCCTGTGGTACGGTTTGTTTGCAATCGTGTCATTACGATTTCATGAGTCATGTTGACGGCAGTGAGGGGACTTGAGCTAGAGTTCGTCACGGCCACCCTAGCTGGAGATTCGTCTGTAAAAATTTGCATTTGTGGTCACAGTGGTGCCTATGCTAACCTTCCTATGGTGTAGAAATATACCTAGTTGGATGAATCTTATTGTGGCTAGCTGGTCCAGTGGCTAATGAGACGGTCTGGAGTTTTGAGACTCTCTGACCGCGGGTTCAAATCCTGCCCATTGAATGGTTTGTTTGCAATCGCGTCATTGCGATTTCGTGAGTCATCATATACCCTTATAGGATTTATAACAATCAGGGTATACAGCAGAAGCATGTGAGTGCAACTGAAAATGTTTAAGGAAGAGGGAGCGTATGTCCATAGCAGAGATAAAAGACTCTGGAAAGGGAAGGAAGGACATTCTCGCATCATCAGTACCTCTCCTGGTGGGGTGGATTATTATAATCATGGGGGAGCACTAAACCCGTAGGGATTATACAGCACTTGAGGGGGTTGAATGGAAGGTATTCAGATTCAATTCAGAGAACTGGAGCACAGATCCAATTCCCTGTATTAAGAGCCCCTCACCAGCATCAAGGAACCTCCCTTGAGGGTAAGGTGGGGTGGAAAAGAAATGAATAGGGTGAATAGAAAGGTGAGGCAGAGTCTCGCCAAAGATTAATGACTGTCATGCAGGGAAGATTCCTCAAGGTTTTTACAGCGTTTAGGATTTCAGGGGAAATGATTAGAATCTGCGGAGAAATTAGAATCCACAGAGCACTGAGTCGATATAGAAATTTCAGAAAAAAAACTTCAAATTTAAATGCAAAAGATAGCGAGGAGTGATGCATTCATCAAATGGAAGTCGGGTAATCCTTACAAACATGAAATCATGAGCAGATCAGCTCGGCAAAGATGATCCATTGCCTGGCCATATGATTTGCCATCTTACTCCTTTAAAAGATTGATATCGTACCCTATAAGGCATACAATATAGTGCATAAACAAATATAGCCACAATGAGGAGTCAACAGTTTGCAAGATTCGCCACCATGAGTAAGGATTGTACCAAACCTCCCGTTTGACATCTACTTCCCCTTATTAAAGAAACATGTTGCCCACTCAGGGGTTGCAACTAGAAGGGCAGGCCCCTCAAGAGAGGTTCCTTGACCCCAGTGAAGGTGTTCTTGATCCATAGATTTAGACATGATCTCCACTTTCTTGGATCGAATCTGATTGCCTCCCGTTCCCTCAGTTACTGCATGACTTCTACAGATCTAGAGTTTAGCACTTCTTTTTGATAACAACAACAACAACAATAATAATAATAATAATAATAATAATAATAATAATAATAATAATAATAATAATACAGGTTTGGAGCTCCCACCATGAATGTAATGTAAGTCCGCAGGAAGGCTCAACTTCTCAGAGAAAGCAAGGAGTATATAGGTCACCATGCACGGCAAATGCACAAGTATTGCTTAGTTTAGCCTCCGTATGTGGTGGCCGCAAATAGGGAGCAGAAGCCCACTCAGCATGACTACAACAGCAATGAACTCAATCCTCCCATCCCCCCAATCCTCACCATGTATGTAAAGAAACTGCCATCATTTTTGTGGAAACTAGATTAGCAGCACTCTCATTTTATTTTGTTTACTTTTATGGTATATGTAATGAGCAGGCTGCATTACCTAGAATGTTTTTAATTTTGTATGGGATGCGAGGGTGGCAAATTCGTGTTTGAAGGTGGTTCTTGCTTTGTGGTCTAAAGTAGATGAACAGAAAATGTTCGGTTGATTTTAATTTTGCAATGGACCCACAAGGTTGAAAATACGTTAACAGACATCGTAACTTAAATATTGTTCTAATGTTTAATCAAAATTCCATGAGAATTCCTTACCAAAGAAATGGTAAGCATTATATTGGCAAGAATGTCGAAGAAAACCTACAACATTTTGTCCTAAATTACTTCGGAGCATAGTGAAGCACTATGACGGAGGGTTACATGAGCCGTGTCAACACGGTCAGTGTGAAATTGCCATGGGGAACGAATACACCAGGCGTTTGTGATTTTCTGTTGCCTCATGTCATCAGGGACACGGTATGGTGTTTCTCACTCGGACATATGAGGTGTTTCCCTCAATGGAGTGAT